TCTCCCTTCTCTTTCCTTTTAAAAATACCTAAATATTTATTTTAGGAGGAAGAATGTGTGTGTGGGGGGGGATCAGTGCCTGCGATGATTAGAATAAAATACCCCACACATCCACACACACACACATCCATCATCTCTTTAAATAATAATATTAGTATGATAATTTAATGATACTAATACGACAATAAAATAATATTAATAGTCCTTGCATTTGGCACAGCAACGCATTGTCACATCTTCTAGGTATCTCACCGGGCTTCACAAGATAGACTGTGAGGTGTAGTGACTGTGTATTTTCTGGGCGAAACGCGGCACCGATTGCACACAACAGTGAGCGTCCGTCACACAAACAGTCGTGAATTCAAGTGGCCGATTTACCTTAGATTTTGGAAGGGTTTATCATCAGCGTCTGTGTGTGTGTGTCTGAGTGTCTGAGTGTGTGTCTGTGTGTCTGTCTGTCTGTGTGTGTCTGTGTGTGTGTGTGTGTGTGTCTGTGTGTGTCTGTGTATGTGTCTGTCTGTGTATGTTTATGTGTGTGTGTGTCTGTGTGTGTCTGTGTGTGTTTGTGTGTGTCTGTCTGTCTGTGTGTGTGTGTCTGTTTGTGTGTGTCTGTGTTTCTCTGTGTGTGTGTGTGCGTGTCTGTGTATTGGTGTCTCTGTGTGTGTGTCTGGGTGTGTGTCTGTCTGTCTGTGTGTGTCTTTGTGAGTATGTGCCTGACTGTATGTGTATGTGTGTCTCTGTGTCTGTGTGTGTGTGTAGCTGTCTGTGTGTATGTGTGTGTGTGTCTGTCTGTGTGTGTGTCTGTGTGTGTGTGTCTGTCTGTGTGTGTGTGTGTCTGTTTGTGTGTGTCTGTTTGTTTCTGGGAGGGATGAGGGGTCTAACACCTGAGCTACAGGGACTGTGTGTGTGTCTGTCTGTCTGTTGTGTATGTCTGTGTGTGTGTCTGTGTATGTGTGTCTGTTTGTGTGTGTATGTGTGTCTCTGTGTGTGTGTCTGTGTGTGTGGCTGTCTGTGTGTATGTGCGTGACTGTGTGTGTCTGTCTGTCGGTGTGTTGTGTGTGTGTGTATGACTGTCTGTGTGTGTGTGTGTCTGTCTGTGTGTGCGTGTCTGTCTGTGTGTGTGTGTCTATTTGTTTCTGGGAGGGATGGGGCGTCTAACACCTAAGCTACAGGGACTGTGTGTGTCTGTCTGTCTGTTGTGCCTGTGTGTGTGTGTCTGTGTGTGTTTCTGTCTGTGTGTGTGTGTGTCTGTGTGTGTCTGTCTGTGTGCGTGTTTGTGTGTGTGTCTGTGTGTGTCTGTGTATGTGTGTGTGTCTGTTTGTGTGTGTCTGTGTGTGTCTGTCTGTCTGGCTGTGTGTGTGTCTGTGTGTGTGTCTGTCTGTCTGTCTGTCTGTGTGCGGGTCTGTGTGTGTGTGGGTCTGTCTGTGTGTGTTTCTGTGTGTGTGTGTCTGTGTGTGGGTCTGTCTGTGGGTCTGTGTGTGTGTGTCTGTCTGTGTGTGTCTGTCTGTGTGTGTGTGTGTCTGTGTGTGTGTGTGTGTCTGTGTGTGTGTCTCTGTATGTATCAGTGTGTGTGAACTTGAGAGAGTGTGAGAGAGAGGGTTAGTGTTGGTGACACTCTCACTCTCTCTCACAATCTCTCTCATTTTCTCTCTCTCTCACTCTCATACTCTCTCTCTCACACTCTCTCACTCCTGTCACCAACACTGACCGTCGTCTCAGCCGCCATCACCACCTCCCGCGGTTCCACAATGCGGCCAAGTCATCCCCCCAGTCACCAGCCACACACACACACACACACACACACACAGTGACAGACACACACACACACACACACACACACACACAGTGACAGACACACACACAGACCCACAGACAGACATCAGCGCAGAGTCCAGACCGGTACGGGAACATATCATCTGTTAACGTGACACAATATCGCACTACATCGGCGGACACCGCGTTGCGTTTTGCACAAAACGCTGACATTTGCACTTATTGCTTCACCGCGGAGAGGTTTGACAAACGGTTAAATATTTGAGGCAAACGAGCAGCGACTTGTCCAACCGGTTCGATTTATGTTTTTCCAAGAAGCGCCGCTCCCTATAATCAGAGCCAAATGTCAGGAGTGTCTCAGACGAAATGCGGCTCAGGGGCTGAACCTGTCTGTCACACAGGTGTGAGCGTCTCTCACAAACCTTCCCATAACCAGCCATTGGGCACATTACCAGCAGGTTGGTGCTGGTGGGTGGGAGAGATCACCCAGTGCTGCTGATTGGGGACCAGGAGAGAACTAGTTGAAGGAGCTGGTGGTTTCCAGTCACTTGGGAGCAGCTCAGCGCGTCCCTGTGATCACTGGTGAGCAAATATCTGCCAAATCTTCAATTCTTTCTCTTCTCCATCTGATAATCTGTAAAAATGTTTCTCAATTTGGTGTCTGATCTTATGCGTCTTCTCCAGGCAGAGTGGACAGGGGAGTGGGGGCGCCTCATTCAAACGCCCTCCGTGGGGGTGAGGGGAGTGAGTGGGCGGGTTATCCGAAGGGCTGAACCGGCTCCGAGGTGGAAAGGTTTGGCTGCAGGTTATCGGAATCGAGCCGTCCTCCTGTAACCGACTCTGCTCTGTTTCCTGAGCCGGTGGCGGGTCCGTGGTATTCCAGGGCACTGCTGATAGCAGCACAGCCCAGTCCGGCTCATCGACAGCACCCGAAGGGCAGACCAGACACTGGGGCAGATATCCTCCCAGTCGGCTCCGATTAACCCTGTAAAAAAGTCCTAACTTGTACGGTGTTCCCAGCTGGAAAAGAAACAGGAAAGCTCGCCGGGCAGCAATATCAATTGCGAGCCATGGGGTTTTCGCCGATTAGATTCCAGCAGTTACTTCAACGCATTCTCTCGGGTGCCCAAACTTTGGCTCTTGCTATTCGTTGCCTTTATTCACCGGAACAGAGTGATTAGGATGGAATTCAAGATCCTCATCCTCACCTACAAGGCCACTCACGGCCTCGCTCCCTCCTACCTCTCCGACCTACTATCCCCCTACGGACATGCCCGTACCCTCTGTTCCTCTGGCTCCGGTCTGCTCCACATCACCCGCCCCAACCGCCCTACCATCGGTGGCCTTCAGCCTCTCAGCCCCGAGGCTCTGGAACTCCATCCCCCACTGCCTTCGCCGCTTCCTCCCTTTCCTCCCTCAAGGCCGGTCTCAAGACCTTTCCCTTTGACCTTGAGCCTTGAGCTCGACTCTCTACCCCCTCCTCGCTCCCTCCCTTCCCTCCACTCACCCTGACCATTTCCCCCCAATGCTTGGGTCCCGATCCAACTGTCCAGCGCCTTGGGACGTCCTCCTGACGTGAAAGGCGCTCTATAAATGGAAACTTGTTGTTGTTGTTGCTCTCACACACACAGTGACTGCTCTCACATACACTCACACATACTGACTGCTCTCTCATACGCACACACTGAATGCTCTCACACACACACTGACTGCTCCAAACACACACACACTGACTGCTCCCCCACACATGTACACACACACACATACTGATTGCTCTCTCGCACACACACACACTGAATGCTCTCCCACACACAAACACACCTACTGACTGCTTTCACACACAAAAACACACACTGACTGCTCTTCTCCCCCCCCCACACACACACACGGACTGCTCTCCCCCCACACACACATACACACACTGACTGCTCTCACACACACTGACTGCTCTCACACACACACACTGACTGCTCTCTCTCACACACACACACACACACACATACTGACGCTCACACACATACATACTGACTGCTCTCTCTCACATACAGTGACTGCTCTCTAACACATGCACACACTGACTGCTCTCTCTCTCACAGATACTGACTGCTCTCTCACACACACACTGACTGCTCTCATTCTCTCTCACGCACAATAACTGCTCTCTCACACACAAACACCGAATGCTCTCCCACACACAAACACACATACTGACTGCTCTCACCCACACACACACACATATACGCACACTGACTGCTCTCCCCCCCACACAAACATATACACACACACTTGACTGTTCTCCCACCCACCCCCCTCCAAACACACTGACTGCTCTCTCATACACACACACTGACTGCTTTCACACACACACACTCACACACTGACTGTTCTCACACAGACACACATACTGATTTCTCTCACACACACACTGACTGCTCTCACACACACACACTGACTGCTCTCACACACACACACACACTGACTGCTCTCACACACACAAACTGACTGCTCTCTCTCACACACACACTGACTGCTCTCACACACACACAAACATACTGACTGCTCACACACGCACACTGTCTGCTCTCTCACACACGCACACTCACTGACTGCTCTATCTCACACACACACACTGACTGCTCTCCACCCCCCACACCACCACACACACTGACTGCTCACACACACACACACTCACTGCTCTCATTCTCTCTCACGCACAATAACTGTTCTCTGACACACGCACACATTTTGACAGCTCACTCCCTCTCCCGCAAACCCACTGACTGTTCCCTCTCCTTCTCATTCACACACACGGTCTGCAAACTCACACACACGAACACTCGGACTGATCTCTCTCTCAGGAACTCACACACAAACACTGACGGCTGAGGCACAGAGAGAGAGAGACGGAGACTAAGTGAGAAAACGAAAGAGAGAGCCTGAAATAGGGAGACGGAAATATATAAACTGAGAGGGACTGACAGAGAGAGAGAGAGAGAGAGAAAAACTGTGAGAGAAAATGCATCAGTTGTGGTCGCTTACAGCAGTTTAGCAGTGACTGAGGGTCGGGGCTCTCCAGCCGCCCGCACGGCCGTAGGCGGTGTGTGTTAATAGCGGTCCCCAGAGCAGAGATGGGAGAGGAATCAGGATCAACATCTTTAATAATCAGTCACTACAGTGCACAGAATATATTCCATATTACACAGACTGTGTGGACAGTCACTGCCTCAGTCAGTTTCAAACTTCCACTGACAGCTCAGCTCTGATTCCCCGCAGTGACTTCAGTTGATTCTTTCCGTCTGAACTGAACCCATTCCCCCAAAGCCTGAAACACATTAAACAGGTAATAAACCCATGGGATAATGGTACAAACTGTAAACTGTTCGTGTCGCAGTTTAATACATACATAAATCCCCTCAAACGGTTCCCATTCTGATACACAGCCCTTTCTCTGTGTGTTTCTCACATTAAACACTGACAAAAACACTCACCTGATCTCCTCCAGACTGGTGCAGGTCTGTATGAGGCGGCGGAGAGCGGGGACAGAGCCGTCTGTGAACGAGTTACACTCCAGGTCCAGGATCCTCAGTGAGCGGTTTGTACTGAGAGCGGAGACCAGATCATCAGTGCAGCCATCGGTCAGTCTGTTACTGTCCAACCTGGAGATCAGAGACACAGAGACATGACAGGGATCAGAGTAAACACAGTGGGTATAACCCACTGTCACTCACAGTTTGTTTGATGCCGGACAGGTTGCAGGAGTTCATACACACAAACACACACACACACCAACACACACAAACACAGACAAAAACATCGCCGCAGATACACACTTCCTCTCACACACACAAATACACACAAACACATGACCCACAGAAAAATACACACAAACATACACAAACAGAGTCACATAAACAGAGAGACGCGCACACAGACACACACATACACACATAAATGCACACACTCACACATGTAGACAAACACACAAACACTCTCACACAAACGCGCTCACACAGAAACATACACAATCACACCCAAAAACTCACCCACGCAAACACATACGTACGCAACCACACACATAGAAACTCACACAAGTAAACACAAACACACACACAAACAAACAATCATTCACACAAACGCACACACATATGCACACAAACACAACCACACGCAAACACACACACAGAAAAAAACACATGCAGGCACAAACAGGCATACACACACAAACATACATGAACATTCACACACACATACAAATACACACACAGAAACACACAAACAAACAAACATACACGAAACCAGATTGACGAATACGCACACACAAACACGCACAAAAATACAAACGCACATAAAGATACACTCAAAAACACACAAACACAAACAGAAGCACATCACATACAAACAAACACACACATATAAATAGACATACATAGATACACACAAACACACACAAATATACACACACACAAACTCACACGCACACACAGAAACACACAAACACACACAAACACTCACAAAAACACTCACAAACCCATACACACAAAATCGAACATACGCCAACACACACACTCAAACAAACACACACACGCAAACATAAGCACAATGACTCGCACAAGCACACATACAAACATAAACAAAATGGCAATAAACAGACACACATACATGCACATACACACATAAACAAACACATGACCCACAGACAAATACACTCAGTTACACACACAAACGGATGAACCACAGACAAGTAAACACACACACACAGAAACACACGCAAACACACTCATGGAAGCACGCACATCCACACACAAACAAACACATGTCGCACAGACAAATACACACACAGGTACAGACACACAGACACATATACACAGAGAAACACACAGAAACAAACACACACACTCACAGAAACACAAACAAACGGACACACAAACACACACGTAAACAAACACACAAACACGCAGAAAAAAGCACACAATTACATACACACACATACACAGCCATACACAAATATACATATCCATACACGTTAAAACACACGCACAAATACACACAGAAACACACAAACAAAGACACACAAAACAAACTCACAAATACGCACACACAAAACACACACACAGTTACACACATACACACAGAAATATACATAAAGACAAACAGACACACACTCAAAAACACCCAAACAAACAAAGAAACACAAAATCAAATACAAACACAGACATAAATACACATATATTGATTCACACAGACAAACATACACAAAACACCCACACACAAACACACGCAGAAAAACACACAAACATAAATACACATACATACAACCAAACACACAAACGTACAGGCACACAGACACAACCACGCACATACCCGCAGACACGCACACACTCACACACACACAAACACACACACGCAAATACCCAATAACATCAAAAAAATTGCATTTACAGAGCGCCTTTCACGTCGGCAGGACGTCCCAAAGCGCTGAACAGTCAGGTGTCGGGGCCTGAGCATGGGGGCGGGGTGGGGAGGGGTGGGGGAAGTGTGGCGAGGGGTGGGGGAGGGGTGGCGGAGGGTGGGGGAGGGGTGGCGAGGAGTGGGGGAGGGCTGGCGAGGGGTGGGGCAAGGGTGGCGAGGGGTGGGGGAGGGGTGGCGAGGGGTGGCGAGGGGTGGGGTAGGAGTGAGGAAAGGCAGAGAGGTGGGAGACCAAAGGAACGATCGAAGTGAAGGGTCTTGAGACCGACCTTGAAGGAGACAAGAGAGGAAGTGAGGGGAAGGGACCGTGGGATGGAGTTCCAGAGTGTGGGGCAGAGAGGCTGAAAGCCCGGACACCGATGGGAGGGCGGGTCGGGCGGGAGACATGGAGCAGCCCGGAGCCCACTGGACGGAGGGAGTGGGCAGGTTGGTAGGGAGTCAGCAGGTCAGAGAGGGGAGGAGGGGGCGAGGCCATGGATGGCCTTAAAGGTGAGGACAAGGACCTTGAACTCGATCCTCTGGGATACACACACAGAATCGCACACACTCACAGGAACACACACAAACACACACACAATCGCACACACTGACAGGAACATACAAAAACGTACACAACAACAAGATTACAGTTGTATATCGCCTTTCATGTCGGACGTCCCAAGGTTCTGACACACACACTCACAAGCACAAAGTCACACAAATAAACATACCAAACACACAAACACACACACACACAAACAATCGTTCACACAAGCAAACACAGTCGAACACAAATACACACAGAGACCCAAAAAACCCGCAGAAACACACACACATAGACAGAGACACACACATAAACAGATCCAGACACAGAATATATATAGATATACTCAAAAACACACGCACAAACACAAACACAGAAACAAAGACAAACACATACAAACAATCGCTCACATAGATAAACACACACCTACGAAAGCACTCACAAAAGCACACAGACCCACATACACAGGTAGACGCACACATACACACAGACACGCAAACAGACACACAGACATACACACAGAAAAGCATGTGCATTGACACACACACATACATACACAAAAACTCACACAAGCACGCACACAAAAATGAACAAAATCACACAGAAACACACACACGTAAATACACACACACGAACACACAAGCATATGTTCCACAGAAAAAAATGCACCTGCACCGAGACAGAAACACACAGACAAACAAACAGAAACGCACACAGAAACGTATATACACATAGAAACACACACACACGAAGACACCTACATACACATGCGCACAAACACACACACAAATACAACAGAAAATTACACGCACAAACAACCACACCAATCGCAGACACACAAACTTACCCACACATACGCATACAAACAAACACACCAATACACAAACGCATACAATCGCACACACACAGAAACAAACACACACTCACACAAACACACATACGCAGAAAAAAGCACGCAAGCAAAAATTCACACACATACACAAACATGCATAAACATACACACAAACATGCATAAACATACACACAAACAATCGCACAAAGATAGACTCAGAAGCATACAAATACACACAAAAACAAACTCACAAACTCGCACACACATGAACACTCAAACAAACATAACACACACAATCATACACATGGAAACATACGTAAAGACACACTCAAAAGCACACAAACACAAACAGAAGCACAAAATCAAATAAAAACACACACATAAATACACGTACACAGACACACACAAACAAACACGCAAACACAAGCAACAAAATGACAATTACAGAGCGCCTTTCACCTCCTGAGGACTTCCCAGAGGGCTGAACAGTCGGGGCTCGGATCGCGAGCGTGGGGGAGAGGTGGGGAAGGGGTGAGTAGTGGGATCGGTGGGGGAGGGGGGAGGCAAGGCAGAGAAGTGGGAGTGAGATCAAAGGCCCAGTAGAAGAGAAGGGTCTTCAGACCGGCCTTGAAGGAGCCAATGGAGGAATCGAGGGGAAGGATCCATGGGATGGAGTTCCAGAGTATGTGGGCAGAGAAGCTGAATGCCCGGCCACCGGTGGGAGTGCAGGTCGGGCGGGAGACAAGGAGCAGCCCGGAGCCCACTGGACGGAGGGAGCGGGCAGGTTGGTAGGGAGTCAGCAGGTCAGAGAGGGGAGGAGGGGCTGAGGCCATGGATGGCCTTAAAGGTGAGGAAGAGGATCATGAACTCGATCTTCTGGACGATGGACAGACCTTGCGAGCGTGGGAGTGATGGGGTCGGACGAGGTTGGGAATGATGGTGTCGGGCGAGGGTGGGAGTGATGGGGTCGGGCGAGGTTGGGAATGATGGTGTCGGGCGAGGGTGGGAGTGATGGGGTCGGGCGAGGTTGGGAATGATGGTGTCGGGCGAGGGTGGGAGTGATGGGGTCGGCCGAGGGTGGGAAAATAGGGTCGGGCGAGGTGGAAGTGATGGGGTCGGGCGACAGTGGTAGTGATGGGGTCAGGCGAGTGTGGGTGTGATGGTGTCGGGCGAGGGTGTGAGTGATGGGGTCGGGGATCGTGGTGTGTGAGACTGCACGAGCTGCAGAATTTGGATGATCTGCAGCTGTGAAGGGAAGAGTTGGGAACACACACAGAATCGCTCACACTCACAGGAACATTCACAAACACACACAACAACAACAACAATAATTGTATAGCGCCTCTCACGCCGGGATGGCGTCCCACGGCGCTGACACATATACACAAACACTCACAAATGCACACACAAACACAATCAGAAACATATACACAAAAGATACACACAAACAAACACACGTACACACACAGAAACACAGAAACAAAAACACACAGAATGGCACATATACAAGAAAAACACAAAAGCTCACTCAAAAATATACAAACAAACACAGTCGCAAAAACACTCAGACACACATACACAGAAACACGCACATATACAGAGATACGCAAACAGACACACACAAGACACACACACAGACTAAACCACATGCCCTGAAACACACACACACAGACATACACGCAGTGTTGTCATGGGATAATGTTCAAGTTTGGTTTAGTGATATAAAATAGAAGTGCAAAGGCGGCAAAGCTCAGTGACTGAACGCAGAACCCAAAACAATGGCAAAACAATGGAGTCCTGTGGCTCAGTGGTTAGAGCACTCGCTTTGCAAGCGAGAGACCTGAGTTCAATTCCAGGCAGAGGGCGAAACCTTGGGCAAGTTTCCTTACTCCACACAGAGCCTAATAATAATCCCTCCAAAACCAAAAACAATAATAAATTGGTCATTTTCAATCCATGACTGTTTGTGGGACATTGCTGTGTGCAATTGGCTGCCGCGTTTCGCCCACAAATATACAGTCAATTCACTTTACAGTATATTCTGTGAAGCGCTTTGGGACGTCCTCCCGACGTGAAAAGCGCTATATCAAATGTAAGGATTATTATTATTATTATATATAATATAAGGTCAGGGCGTACGAGGACTCAGAAAGTCTGTTCACACTTACACACTGGACAAAGCGACTGATCAGGAGACAATAAAATGGGGTTAAAGGGAGATTTGAAGCATGTTATGGATATAGACATATAAGGAGTTATTTTTCTTTAAAAAGACAGCTTCGTCTGGAGTTATTAAGTTATCTTTAAACGAAGGTTTGTTAGATATCTCTCGGGAACGGTAGCGGAGCAATGCGAAACACGACCAGGGCTGAGACAGAAATCTGGTCAGTACTGTTTTGTGTCTTGTGTGTTATTTTAATGTATCATTTATTTGTGTATTATCTGCTGTTTTGACCTGAATATAGTGACTGAACTCAACCAATTGGTAAATTGGAATCGGATCATTCTGAAGTTGTTTTAGATACCTGGATATGCTTCTAACATCAGTCACACACACAGACACACACTAACACATTTATACATATTGAGTGTTTGATGTAAGAAATGGATTGTGGTCTAACACTGTCACAACGAATCCTGTCACAATATTCAGCCGCACTGATCAGACAGTCACAATAAACACATTGAGATATTGGAGTCATTCAGACTCTGGAGACACAGTGCGTTACTTACCACAGTCTCTGTATTTTACACTCCGGGTTCCTCAGAGCCTCACACAGTCGCTTCACTCCACAATCTCCCAGATTATTATTATTCATGTTCAGCTCTGTCAGTGAGTGGTTTGTGCTGAGAGCGGAGGTCAGATCCTCGGTACAATCCGCTGTCAGATTGTTACTGTCCAACCTGGAGATCAGAGACACAGAGACATAACAGGGATCAGAGTAAACACAGTGTGTGGACCCACTGTCACTCACAGTTTGTTTGATGCCGGACAGGTTGTAGGAGTGCGACACACACACACACACCAGGATGCACATCAACACAGGCACGTAAGATATACTCTTATTCACACACACATATAAACACATGATCCACATACAGATACACACAAAGAGACACAAACACCCAAGCACACACAGACGCGTACACATAGACACACGCACAGATTGAGATACACACATACATATAGAAACAAACATACACACTCATGCACATAAATAAACGCACACACACAAACGCACCCACGCAAACACATACGTACGTAAATACACACAGAAACACACAAACAACCACAAAGACACACAAATGCACACAATCCCCCACACTCAGAGAAACACACAAAAACAAACACAAAACGCACACACAAACACATGCAAAGGCACTTACGTAGACACACATAAACACAGAAATAAACACAAATATACATACACAAACATACTCAGAAACACACACAAATACACACACAGAAACACACAAACAAACAAGCACACACAAAAACAAACTCACAAACACGCACGCACATGTACACACAAACAAACACAACACACAAACATACAAACACACATAAAAATTGAAATAAATACAAAGAGACACACAAAACAGAACCACATATACACCCAGAAACGCAAACAGAAAGACACATACATACACCTGCATACAAACACACACACAAATACAAACACACAATTATACGCACAAACACACACCCACACCAATCACAGACACAGAAACTTACCCACACATACAAACAAACACACCAATACACAAACGCACACGGAGAATAAAGCACACAAGCACAAATTCACACACATACATCAACATGCATAAACATACACACAAACAATCGCACAAGTATATACACACAAGTACACACAAAAACAAACTCACAAACACGCACACACATGCACACTCAAACAAACGTAACACACACAATCACACACACATGGAAACACACGTAAAGACACAATCAAAAGCACACAAACACAAACAGAAGCACAAAATCAAATAAAAACAAACACATACCAATACACGTACAAACATACACACAATGAAACACACAAATGCACACACAAAGAAAAACATACAATCACACACAAATGCACACGTGAGCACTCACGCAAACGAACGCTAAAATACATAGATAAATACACATACAAACTCTCAAACACACAGACACACCCAAAAACACACATACACACTTACACGCACACAAATACAAATACGCAACAACATCAACAAAATGACAACTACAGAGCGCCTTTCACGTCCTGAGGACATCCCAGAGCGCTGAACAGTCGGGGGTCGAGGCCCGAGCATGGGGGAGAGGTGGGGAAGAGGTGATTGGTGGGATCGGTGGGGGAGGGGTGGGGGAAGGCAGAGAAGTGGGAGGGAGATCAAAGGCACGGTAGAAGAGAAGGGTCTTAAGACCGGCCTTGAAGGAGGCCAGGGAGGAAGTGAATGGAAGTGACCATGGGAAGGAGTTCGAGATTGTGGGGGCAGAGAGGCTGAAATCCCGGCCGCCGATGGGAGGGCGGGAGATATGGAGCAGCCCAGAACCCGCTGGACGGAGGGGGCGGGCAGGTTGGTAGGGAGTCAGCAGGTCAGAGAGGGGAGGAGGGGCGAGGCCATGGATGGCCTTAAAAGTGAGGACGAGGATCTTGAACTCGATCTTCTGGACGATGGAGAGACTTGGGCGAGTGTGGGAGTGATGGGGTCAGGCGAGGGTGGGAGTGATGGGGTCGAGCGAGGGTAGGCGTGATGGGGACGGGTGAGGGTGGGAGTGATGGGGTCGGGGAGCCTGGTGTGTGTGAGCACAGGAGCTACAGAGTTTGGATGATCTGCAATTTGTGAAGGGAAAGGTTGGGAACACAAACACACACACAATCGCACACACTCACAGGAACATACAAACACACACAACAACAACAACAATATTTGTACAGCGCCTTTCACGTCGGTAGGGCGCCCCATGTTCTGACACACACAAACACTCACAAATGCACACACAAACACAAAGACAAACATATACACAAACAAACAGACGCGCACAAATACACAAACAGAAACACAGAAACACGCACAAAGACACACACACACACACACAGATACACAACCAGGCACACACAAGACACACAGGTACAATCACATGAACTGGTGCACACACACACACACACACAGAGACATACACACAGTGTTGTCATAGGTTAATGTTAAAGTGTGGTTTAAGAATATAAAATAGAAGTGCAAAGGCGGCAAAGCTCAGTAACTGAAGCAGAACCCAAAACAATGGCAACATAAGGTCAGTACGTACAAGGACACAGAAAGTCTGTTCACACTTACACACTGGACGGAGGGACTGATCAGGAGAGAATGAAATGTGGTTAAATTGGGAATTGAAACACATTATGGATATAACCAAATAAGGAGTTGTTTTTTCTTTAAAAAAGACAGCTTTGTCTGGAGTTATTAAGTTATCTTTAAACGAAGGTTTGTTATCACTCGGGAGCGGAGCAGTACAAGACACGACCAGTGCTGTAACAGGAATCCGCTCGGTACCGCTTTGTGTCTTGTGTATTGTTTTATTGTTTCATTTATTTGTCTATTACCTGCTGTTTTGACCTGAATATAGTGACTGAACTCAACCAATTGGTAAACTGGAATAGGATCATTGTAAAGTCGCTGTAAATAGTTGCAAATGTTTCTGACAACAGACACACACACACGCACACACACATTCAACCACAAACATAGATACACACAGACACACACGCAGACACACACACACACAGTCACAGACTCACAGACAGAGAGACACACACACAGACAAACACAGATACACAGACACATTAACACACGTTGAGAGTTTTATGTAAACGATGGTTTGTGGCCTCACACTGTCACACCGATTCCTGTCACAATATTCAGCCGCACTGATCAGACAGTCACAATAAACACATTGAGATATTGGAGTCATTCAGACTCTGGAGACACAGTGCGTTACTTACCACAGTCTCTGTATTGTACACTCCGAGTTCCTCAGAGACTCACACAGTCGCTTCACTCCACAATCTCCCAGATTATTGCTCTCCAGCCTGGACACAGAGACACAAACACAGGGAATATAGTGTAACAACACAATACACATTGACATGTATATACAGGAGCCTTTCACGTGGGGAGTAAGTCCCAAGGCGCTGAGACCAGGGTCAGACACACCCAAACATGTGCACACACACACATCACAATCTCTCTCTTTCTCTCTCTCTATCTCTGATTCTCTCCATGTCTCCCCCACAAAACTGTCACTATGTTTAATAATATATTCTCTTTCACCGTCTCTCTCTCTCTCTCTCTCTCAGTCTCCTTCTATGTCTTTCACTATCTCACTCTCTCAGTCTCCTTCTATGTCTCTCTCTCTCTCTAAGTTTCTTTCTCTGCCTCTCCCACAAAACACAGTCCCTACGCGTGATAACATATTCTCCCTCATCGTCTCTCTCTTTCTCTCAGTCTCTTACTCGCTCTCTCTCACAATCATTCTTCTTTCGCTGAGTCTCTCTCTCTCTCTCTCACTGTCTCAGTCTCTATCTCTCTGGCTCTCTGAGGCTGTCTCTCAGTCTCTTTCTCACTCTGTATCTCTGAGTCTCTTTCTCTCTCTGTCTCTCTCTTTCTCTCAGTCTCTCTCTCACTTTGTGTTTCTCAGGCACTTTCACTCTCACTCTCTTTCTCGGTAACTTTCTCTATCGCTCACAAATATACAGTCAATTCACTTTACAGTCGATTCTGTGAAGCGCTTTGAGCCGTCTAGAAGGCGTGACAAGCACTATATCAAATGCAAGGATCATTATTAGTTGTAGTAGTAGAAGTGGTATTATCTCTCCGGCAGTTTATCCCAAACTCTCTCTCGCTCTCTCAGTCAATCTGTATCTGTTTCTCCCACCTAACACTACAATATATTCTCTCTCAGTATCTCTCTCGCTCTCTCTCAATCTTTCTGAATCTCCTTCTCTGTCTCTCTTTCGGTCTCTGTCCCTCAATCTCTCTCTCTCTCTGTCTCTCTCTCTCACACTCTCTCAATCATTTTCTCAGTCTCTGTCTCTCTCTGTGTCTGTCAATGTCTATTTCTGTCTCTCTCTCTCTCTCAATCTCTCTCTCTCAGTCAGTCAATCTCTTTGTGTCTCTATGTCTCGTCAACAAAACATACAGTCACTACACATTATAATATATTCTCTCTCCATTTCTGTCTCACTCAGTCTTTCAGTCTCTTTCTCTTCCTCATATCTCTCTCAGTCGCTTTCTCTCTAAATCTCTTTCTCTCCATTATTCTCGCCGTTAAGTCTCTCTCTCTCTCAGCCTCTCTCTCTTTCTCAATCTCTCAATCCCAGTATCTCTCTCCCTCCATCTACATGTCTCAGTATTTCTTCCTCTCAGTCTCTCAGACTATCTTTCTTTATTGGTGTCTCTCAGTATCTCTTTCTGTCGCGCTCTCACATTCTCTCTCACTCTGTGTCTCTGAGTCACTTTCTCTCTCAGCCTCTCTCTCTGTTTGTTTCTCTCCTCTCTCGCATTCACTCTCTCTCTCATTTTCTCACTCAGCTTGTCTCACTCAGTCTCCCTTTCCCAGTCTCTCACTCTCCCAGCCTCTCACTCTCTCTCTCTCTCTCTCTCTCAATCTCTGTCTCATCACTCGCTCTCTCAGTCTCTCTCTCTCTGTCTTGTAGTCTCTCTCTCGCTCTCCCTGTCTCTCTCACTGCCTATCTGACTCTCTCCTCCTTTCGTTCTGCCTCTCTTTCTCTCTCTCTCTCTCTCTCGTTCTCTTTCTTTGTCAGTCTCTCTCACTGACTCTCTCTCCGTTTCTCTCTCTCTCTGTCTGTCTCTTTCTCTCTCGCAGTAACACTGTCTGTCACACAAAACACAATGCCAGTTAACTTTAAAATATCTCTCTCACATTCTCTCTCTACGTTTTTCTCTCTCTCATTTTCTCTCTGTATCGCTCGCTCTGTTCTTTCCCTCATTGAATCTCTCGCACTGTCTCTGTCTTTATCTCTGACTCTCATTGTCTCTCTCTCTCTCTCTCTGTATGTTTCTCTCTCAGTCTCTCTCTCAGTCTCTCTCTCTCTCTCACACACAGTCTGTCTAACATTCTCTCGCTCTGGCTCTTCCACAAGGCACAGTCACTATTCGATATATATTTTTGAATCAGTTTCTCTTTGTGTCTCTACCTGTCTCACTTTCTTCTCGGTCTCTGTCTCTTAGTCTCTCCCACAAAATATAAGGTCACTATATGTCATGTCCCTATTCTCTCTCACTCTGCCTGTCTTTCTCTGAGTCTCTCTCTGTCTCCTGCTTAGTTTCTTTCTCTCTCTCTCTCTGATTCTCTTTCTCTCCCTCTTTCTCTTTCTAAATCAGTCTCTCTCTCTGTCGCTCTCTCTCTTTCATTATCTATCAGTCTTCGTATTCGCCTCTCGCTCTATCTTTCGTTCCCTCAGTCTCTCTTCACGATCTTACTCTCTCCTTCTCTCTTTCTGTCACTTTCTCTTAGTCCCTCTGACAAAAAAAATGACTACATATTAAATTTCTTCTCCACTAGTCTCTCTCTCTATCAGTATCTCTCTCTCTCTCTCAGTCTATTTCTCAGTCTATCACTCTGCCTTTCTCTCACTCAGTCTCTCTTCTCTCTCAGTATCTCTTTCTGTCTCTGTATCACTCTGTCTTCTCTCTCTCAGTTCCCATCTATCTCTCATTGTCTCATGAAATATTGTTTTCAAGGGATTAATAACCCTCGAAAAGTGATCTGCAAATCGTCTATCAATCGGATTGTGACTGACTGTGAGGCAAACAGACACGAGTGGAGTAAGGAAACATCCGTAAGGTTTTGCTCTGCCCAGAATCACCCCCAGGCCCTCTCGCTAGCGAGGCGAGGGCTCTAACCACTGAGCTACAGGGCTCAGACGGCAGTGTGTGAGCAGACACAGGCTAACTCAGGGCTGAAGCTGTGTAGACTTTATTCTTGGTGAGGGTTTTGCACAGACGTTTTGACTGGAAAGATTCTGACAAAAAAAACCTCAAACCCAGTGGAGGGGTCGGAGCTGTGACTATCCGCATGTCACGAGAGATGGGGTTTCCAGCACATGGTTGCATTTTAACACATGTTGAGATTTTGATGTAAAAGATGATTTGTGGCCTCACACTGTCACACCGATTCCTGTCACAGCATTCAGCCGCACTGATCAGACAGTCACAATAAACGCATTGAGATATTGGAGTCATTCAGATCTGGAGACACATTGTGTTACTTACTCCACTTTCGGTATTTTAAACACCGGGTTCCTCAAAGCCTCACACAGTGGCTTCACTCCACAATCTCCCAGATCATCAATATTGAGGTACAGCTGCGTCAGTGAGTGGTTTGTGCTGAGAGCGGAGGTCAGATCCTCTGTACAATCAGCTGTCAGATTATTATCCTCCAACCTGGAGATCAGAGACACAGAGACATAACAGGGATCAGAGTAAACACAGTGTGTGTAACCCACTGTCACTCACAGTTTGTTTGATGCCGGACAGGTGGCAGCAGTGCACGCGCACACACACACACACGCACACCAGCACACACGCACACACAGACACACCTACACACACAGTCACAAAAACACACACGCATACTCACAACCATACAAACACGCACAAATACACACTCAAACATACAAATAGATGACAGAAACAAACACACGCAGACACATACATACCAAAAAGAACATAACACACACATACACACAAAAACACATAAATGCACACATACAACCAAACAAGCACCCACACACAAACACAAGCACACGTGCACAAGTACAGAAATACACAAATACAAGTACACAAACACACACATATACAAGCACGAACACAAACACAGATGCAGAAACACATCAACAGGAAAAGACAGTATTGCACACGCTCACAGGCACACACTGAAACAAACAGACATGAAACACACTTACACACAAGCAAACGCATGACACACACAGAAATACACACGTACGGACACACATAAACAAACCCACACAGAAAGACAAAGACAAGCAAACACACACAAAAAAATTACAAAAACACACACACAACAAAACACACAAGTACACACACAAAAAAACAGTGAAAACAAAAACAAATGAACACAAACGTGCACACCAACAAGCTTACACGCAAATGCGTGCTCACACAAATACCCACACAAACACACAGAAATGCGCACATACAAACACACATGCAAACGCACACAAACAAACGCAAACGCACAAAGGCACACAAATAAACAGACAAACATACACAAGCACCGAATGTCAAGCAAGGCGCAAAAAACACGCGCACAGAAAAACATACGTATACACATACACACACAAACAAATTCACATGCGCACAGAAATACGCACACAAACACATACATATGCAAACACACACAAGCACACACACATACACAAATACACCATCATACACACAAAACAAACACAAACACACACACAGAAACACAAAACAAGCACACAAACCGACACACAAACATGCGCACACAAGCCCACACACAAACAAACACAAGCACACATTCACACAAACACACGCATAAAAACAACAAACACAC